ATAAATACATAAAACACAATGTCTCTAATATATATTGAAATTTTGTGATGATATTCAAAGGGTTAAAAAATTTTATTTGGTTGATTAGTAGTAAGGGAAGATCCTCAAATGGATATATATATATATATATAGTTATTCTCTTATCCGGATGCCAGTGATAAAAATAGGAAATGGTAGTAGAAAATACGTGGCGTCTGCACGGTTTGGATTATTAAACTACAATATGAAGTAGAACTCACAAGAGCTCCCATTTTGTTTTGTAAAACAACTAAAAATCGATTTCTAGAACAATCTTGTAGACACGCATATATGTATTCAACGTGAAATGTTTCCTTCCAAACTGTATATGAACTATTAATTAGATTGATTTTTTGCTTGACTGTGCGATCAATATTCAAGGCTAACAAGATAAATATTTGTTTAGCGTTTGTCGTGATAATAACGTCCTTTATATCTCATTTTCGACTTATTTTAGGGTGTAGAATAACTTCTTCTTTTTTGTTTCCAGAGTTAGGAAAGAGTGGAGCAAACTCACACACACGGGTAACATCCCATTGGTGGGTGTAGAATAACTTAACCAAAAGGGTTAATTTCAATTTAGTACCTTGCATTATCATTGTTAAGGCATGTTTGCCCTTGCACTCTCAATTTTAACAAGGATTAACTACAGTAAACCCCCCCAAACTATGAGTGTCATTACTAACTCATACCCAACCTTTGGAGACTAGTTTGACTAGTATCCCAACTTATAGAAACCTTCCAAATGAGTAGATGGGGTGGTTGCGGTTCGGTAACCGCGAATTTTTGCCCAAACCGCAAACCGACCGACTATTTGCGGTATAGTGATTTTTGAAACCGCAAACCGACCGCAAAAAGCGGTCGGTTACCGTGAATTAGCGGTTTAAAACCGCAAGTTCTTTTTGTGTCATAAAAATCCAACTTCTCAAGCATATATAAATTCACAATCTCCTCAACTTCTCAAGCATTCACAACCTAAAGAAAATTAAAGTTCAATTCCAAGCATTCCAATTAAAGTTAAACTTCTCAAGCATTCCAATTCCAAATTCTTTAAAGTTACAAACCAAAAGGAAAATGCAATGCAAAATGAATTAAAGTTACAACCCAAAAGAAAATCCAATTCAAAGTTAATTAAAGTTACAAACTAAAAGGAAAATGCAATGCACCAATGTTACAAACTAAAGTTACAAACTCAAGTGTTGGTGGTGGTGAGTGGATTTGAAGAACCCCGTTGTGTTGTTTGAGCACCAATGCTATCTACAAATAAAACAACATAAGTTTAGTACATTTTATTTTAAGAAGAAGCATAAATAACATGAGCATAAATAAACTAATTACTTATTTATGCAACCTCATCATCAATCTCATCCTCTTTTGCACTAGTTGAAATATGACATCAACCTCATCACCAATTTATGCACCCTCATCATCAATCTCATCCTCTTTTGCACAAGTTGTAGAAAATATTGTATGAAATATATTTTACATACAATATAATATAGACAATATTATTTAAAGATATTCGCGGTTTGCGGTAACCGCAAGTTTTGAAAATCAAATACCGCAACCGCAACCGCAAATGCGGTTCGGTTCTAAATACCGCAAATGCGGTTCGGTTTACCGCAATTGCGGTTTCATTGCGGTAAATTATCGGTTGATTTTTGCGGTTTTTCGGTTTTTCGGTATAAAATGCCACCCCTTAATTGTTAACGTAGCAAATGTAAATTCTATATTTTATGCTGATGTGGCCAAAAAATTTAATAACAAATGAATTTCCTTTAAAAAGAATAAATAATTTACTTATAAAAATTAAACTAACCCAGAACCCCACCCACCAACTGATCAACCATACCGACCACCACCATAAGACCTCGAAAACCATCCCAAGATGACGCTGTTTTCAGCGACAAACGCAAGGGAGAGGAAAACAACAACCACCGTCTTCGCCATTTTATGAAAGACCAACCCATGCTCCTACTGCAGGCACGAATCCGACCATAGGAGTGACTCTAGATAATGTGATGATCAAGGAGGTCGTCGATGACGATGACGATGATGATGGTGATGGTGACAGTAATGATGACGAAGACAGTGGCTGGTTGGATCCTGAGCTGAGCAAGTGCCTGGTCCATTTACCTAGGAATTGGAAATCTGATCAATTGAAAGACTGTGTGGATTTTGAGATTTTTATTTTCACTTTGGAACTTGCCCTGAATTGCAGGACTTCAATTTAAATTGGCCTAGAATAAGAAAGGCATGACTTTAGGTTGTGTTAGTTTTGACTTTCTAGTGTAAATTTGGGTTTTGTCTCTTCCAAGATCCACGATCCGTCCTTGTCGTTCAGGTTGCGGAGATGGCGAGACGAGGCCTTCTTTTTGGTACAAGAGACAGAGAGTTATGATGGGTGGCTTAGTGCACTGGCGGACCCAGAATTTTTTTAGCAGAGGTGCAATATTGACTAAGTATGAAAAATGGTTTTTTGGAATAATCATTTTCTCAAGATAATTTTTGGCGGCTTTTGTTCCTTACACATCAAATAAGAAAACTTGATTTTATGGGATTTTAGTATGAAGTATATATTGACTTAATGAGCCATCATTTTTAGCCTAAATCGTATTTTGCACTAAAACCGAATTTTCATATTTTGATTTGGTGGGAATTTGATTTTCTAGTATTTTTATTTGAATCCAAATGGGGGGTACTTCCTTATTTACATTGTAAACTTAAGTAAATGGAGTAATATAAAAATAAATAAAAGTAAAAGGACAAAGACATTTACTTAAATAAGGTAATCTGTACACCAGTTGAGCAAAGAGGCAATTTCAAGCACCTACAATGGTTTTTCCGGCAAGGGGAGGTAATCTGTACACCAGTTGAGCAAAGAGGCAATTTCAAGCACCTACAATGGTTTTTCCGGCAAGGGGAGGTGCAGCTGCACCTCCTTGCGCCTTAGTAGGTCCGCCTCTAGGTGGCTGGGCATGGAGACGATGAAGGTTAGGATGTACGATGTGGTGGATGGGATTATGGATGTCAAACGGGTTGTGTCAACCTTGCCCTGCCCATTTAGAGTCGGTACATTTAATAAATGGGCCGTGTTAGGTCCATCCATTTATGAAAATCATCAATGTCAGCCCAAGCCTACAACCCTAGCCCATATGGGATTGGGTCGTGCTCGTGTCAGACTTCATTATAAGGGTCGATATGGGCCCACCCCAAATTTGACTTAGGTATTGTATTTTTTTTTGTAAATTTTTAACAATTTCATTTAAATCTTTTATACAGTTATGTATATACGAACAAGATTTATTATTTGTTGCAAAAATATGCCAATAACTTTATTTAAAGTATATTTAAATAGAAAATTGCTAGATTATTGTTTGGGTTTTAAAAATTAAAACTTCAAAAATAAAATCATTATTTTATATATAAAGAAAATATTAAATTTTAATATAAATATTATTAGAGAAAAAAAATAGACTTGAATTTAATATATAAATATAATAATATATTATTTTTATCTAAAACAAATATAATTTAATAAATGGGCTTTAAAGGGGCTGGTCCATTGGGTTTCCAGTCGACACGGCCCACGACAAGCCACTGGCCTGCCTAGCCCATTGGGCCTAATTAACTCATCCCGGCTTGCCAAAAGATACTGTATGTGCTATGTCGAGCTTCACTTAAGCGTGTCATGCTAGGGCCGGCCGGGTTTGTTTGAAGATACGGTGGCGGCATGGGTTAAGGTTGGCAAATGTCGTGGCTGTACCAAATGGGGATGGAGAACTGAGGCTGGGGGTTGGGGTGGGAGCGGCTAGCAGTTGGTGGGGTTCTCGGTTAGTATTTATTTTTATATTTTTATATTTTTATATTTTTTATATTTTTTTATATTTTATATTTTTTAAATGAAATTTATTTTTTATTAGTTTTTATTAATTTTTTGTGCCACATCAGCATGAAAAAATGTTATTTACATTTCCCACGTCAACATTTAACAAATTGGATAACGGAGGTCTCATTTGTAGGGTTTCTATAAGTTACTATACCGGTCAAACGAGTCTCCAAAGGTTGGTGGGCCCCGTCATCCTTCAAGAGGAGATACATCATGAGCCAAGTAATTTTTGTTTTTGACCCTCAACAGTACACCATGTGGGCACATGGTCAAATTCAACCAAAAAAGTTAACAAAATTAACGGTATGACCATTTTACCTTACAAAACTAAAGTTAAAGGACCATAATAACTATTTTGGAAATTGAGGGACCAAAATGTGAATCGGGTCAAAGTCCATAGACCATTGTAATGACCCTCATAGTTTGGGAGGTTTATTGTAGCTGATCCTTTCAACAATAATGTACCCTAAGCTTTTTATTTTTTTTGCAATCTAGTTTCGTCATTAACTTTACCGTCAAAATTATGTTAATTGCCTATGTGGCAGGGCTTAGTCTCACCTATTCGCTTCTTTTGATGCCAATTGAAAGGCATTTTCAGGCAATTGATGTTTTCCCACCCAAACACATTTGGCACACAAAAATCCTGCCCAAACCCATTTGACATCAATTGTCCGAAAATACCCTTTAACTAGCATTGAAATAAGCGAATATGTGGGACACAAGCCTGCTACGTAGGCAATAACGGAAATTTATCTTGTGAAGTTAACGTTGGAATCAGATTGTAGATAATTAATAAAATTAGGGTACATAATTGCTAAAAGTTGAGGGTGCATAGGCAATCATAAGAAACATATCTTATGAGTGAAAATTTAGAGTATTAAATTGAAATTAACCCTAACCAAAACTAGAATGCACAAATAATCGAAAAACAAAATAAGGTGATGAGTGTATTATGTGGGTGGGATTAAATAAGTCCATGAGGTTGAGGTGAGTCAGCTGACCTGCGTGGACTAGTAACAATTGTTCCGGAAGTAAAAAGGGAAGGAGGGGACGGACAAAGCCAACTACTAAGTTGACTGCCTAATAATATCCAATCATGGAGAGTCGCAGACACGCTTTTCTTGCAGGCTATTGTTGGTTGAGGTTGAGGACGAAGCCGCTGTCCTTGTCCCTAATAAATCACCCACTTCTCTCTATATCTGTTTTTTTTCTTTTTGTATTCTCTTTTTTTGGCAAAAATTTCCCATTTGAAGACAATCTTCATTTCATTCATTCATTCATTTCTCCCTTCCTCTTGCCAACCCCATTATAGTGTACATTCTATCTTTGATCAGCGTCCTTTAAAACCCAGAAGGAAATTTTCCATCTGGGTTTTGAAGATTTTGATTCTTTACAGATTATCTGATATTGGGGATCGAAGATTCTTTGTTGTCGCATGTGGGCAGTGAAGATTTTGGTTCTTGTGGGAATATCTGAAGTGGGTGTTGGAGATTTTTATCTTTTAAGGGAAATTTGGGATGTGGGTTTTGCCGTATGGGAAATTTTTTTGATTCTTGGAGGAATGTCTGGTAGTGCTGAAGTTGGTTTGAAAGATTATGATTCTGTGGAGACGAAATTGGATTTTATTGGATAAGGTTTTAACTTTCCTGTATGTCTTTGTTGGTTTTCTCGAAGTTCACGAAATGTTTAACTAATCTGTGAACAGTAACATTCGTAATCTTTTTTGTTTATTGTTAGTTCGAGAGTGGTTTGTTCGAGAGTGATTTCTAGTGAGATACTGACCGTTACAACCAATTTGCTTTTGAGAAATCTGTCATTGGAAGGAGGGTAGTTGTTTCTAGTTTGGTGCAGGGACGACCTTCTACTTTTATGTATAGAGAAGATAACTTTTTTTTATTGCTCTCGATATGCTTTTTGTATATATTTTGGATGGATTAAGGATATGATGTCCTACATTTGAGGAAAATAAGGGAATTTTGGAGAAACAAGCAAAATTTTGGTTTAGCATGTGCTCATTGTAAGCTCTCAGTTTTTGGGTTGGTAGTATTTGAGGGTCATGAAATTTCTCAGCGTTATGGGAAATTCATTTGGATGTTCAGCATCCGGGGAGCGATTAGTTTCAGCAGCAAGAGATGGAGATCTTCAAGAGGCTAAGGCCTTGCTGGAATGTAATCCTCGCCTGGCAAGGTACTCGACTTTTGGTGTTCGTAATTCCCCTCTCCATTATTCTGCAGCTCAGGGCCACCATGAGGTATAAGTCTAATACACATCTTCTTAAGAAATTGGTCTAATTTTGTTTCAAGGTTTTGCTTATCTTTTATGATTGATTGAATTTTTTTGTTCTCCATGTGTTTAGATAGTCTCTCTCTTGCTAGAGTCTGGAGTCGATATCAATCTCCGGAATTATCGTGGTCAGGTAAAATGATCTAATATGGTGGCTTTAGAAGTTTAGCATCTGCGGCATTATATATATCAAAACTTGCTTTGTTATGGATTTAAAAATAAGTTTTCTATCATAAAAGTGAAATTGTGGTCTATGTCTTGGTGAACAGACTGCTTTGATGCAAGCTTGCCAACATGGTCATTGGGAGGTTGTTCAGACATTGGTTCTTTCTAAAGCCACAGTAAGATTGTTACTTCCAATCCAATTTTTTCAATATTCTTTTGATATTGATAGGGTTAAGAAGTATGACAAATTTTGGAAAACCGGATTTCAGATTCACAGAGCAGATTATCTGAATGGGGGTACTGCACTCCACTTTGCTGCTTTGAATGGTCATTCTCGGTGCATCCGGCTCCTCCTTGCTGATTACATTCCCAGCACTCCGGATTTTTGGAGTACCTTAAGGAATGCATCAAGCAATGAAGAATCAATTGTGGAGTTTAACCATGAGTACTTCCACTTCCAGTTCCTTTTGCACCCTCTTTTTATCTTTTCCAATATTCTCTATTGATTTATTTTTCTGTTCTTTGCGTGCACCAGTGTTTTGGTCCAGATAATTAATAGGCCTGCTGATGGAGGAATCACTGCACTGCATATGGCAGCGTTGAACGGTCATGTTGAAAGCGTACAACTACTTTTGGATTTAGGGGCTTCTGTTTTTAAGGTTACTGTGCAAGATGGAACTACAATTGATCTAATAGGTAACTTTAATTTATAATTATCCTTTTTCAGCAATTAGCATCATTCACTTGCCTTAGCAAATCTACTGAGTTGTATTATAAAATAGGAATTGGATAATACATAGAATACAACATACATTCATTCATCTTTCCAAGTTTTCTGCAAACTTTGTGAGTGTATTTCCTTTTCTGCTATTGCATAGAAAGGTATAGCCCAATCATATCTAAATTAATTCCTAAGACATTGTTTAACTTCATGTTAATTGTAATTCAATGTAATGCTGTTGATTAACCTCTTGAAACATTAATGTTCAAAGACTCCCATCATTCCAATATGATTTTGCACAATGTATTTCCTAAACCATCTTTTATACTGATCACTTTGCAGGTGCTGGAAGCACAGCCCTACATTATGCTGCATGCGGGGGAAATGCACAGTGTTGTCAAGTATGTTCTTCATTTACACAAAAATATGCATTAATGTTGTTACATCCTTACACGTATTTATGCTCTGCTATTACTATTTTTATATCCTCTGGTTCAGATTTTGATTTCCAGGGGTGCCAGTCTGAATGCTGAAAATGCGAATGGGTATGTACCCAATGCCTGTTATGTTACTTTTGATTTGTTTCAAAGTCTATTGTAATTTTCACTTGGAATATTTATTTTAATAATACTTTGACCTGTGTTACATGGGTTCAAGTGAGTGTCATGATTGAACCTATATACTGCCCAAGTGTCAAATTTTCTTTGATTATTTGAGCGATAACTGCATGTAATTTTGACATTATGTGGTATCTGTTTAAATTTGGATGACCGACCCCCTTTGAAATCCTGTTAGAATTATTTATCATCAAACTAGCTCATGATAGAAATTGAATTCTTGTCTCACCTTCACTCCAAGTGTTCTTTTCTTTTTTTTTCTTTTTTTTTGTGTGTTGGTTTTTCTTTTCTAGCTTTGTGTTTTTTGCCAGGGAATCCTCCCCCTTGTTCTCTTCCCCATACTTAGCCTAAAGGGCCATTGGCTCCGTTGCTTTTAGGCACCATTGCTGCAGTGGCCTATGATTCCGTGTATTCTGAAGTAGTGTTGTGCTCTGCATGTATGGGCTGCTTTCTTGCTCATAATAAGAATGCTACTTTGCCAATCCAAACATTAAATAGCTTCTCGACCTGGTTATCAGATTGTAGTGTTTGGATTAGCAGAGTTGTATTCTTATTTTGTTAACTGTGCCATTGGACCTGAAAATGTGGATTGTGAAGTCAATAATTAGATAGATGCACGGTTTTAAAATTCAACCATTGGCCAGTAAAATTTAGATCTTAATCCCATGGATCATTATATTTGGTTCCTTGAAGTGATATCAGTTGTTTCATGACTTCATTCTTTTTCTTTTTCTTTTCTTTTCCCATCTGCAGTAACTTCATAATTCTCTTCACTCAACTACAAGTCTTTAACTTACCCCTGCTTTATGTTTTTATTTGTTCAAAGATGGACTCCCTTGATGGTGGCCCGTTCTTGGCATAGAGACTGGCTCGAGGAAATCCTAAGCACGGAGCAGCAAGTCCAGTCACAAATTCTTCCTTCACCGTACCTATCCCTTCCCCTTATGAGTATTGTGAAGATTGCTAGGTGAGTATATTTTGTTAAATCTATTGACTTAGTATTCTCTACTACAGAATTGTTTGTAATTTCTAAATTGGTTCAGTTCGTGAGTATCTGTAATTCTGACTGCTGCAACTAAGAAATTAAGAATAGGCAAACTTCTCTAAAAGAAAGGAAAGTTATGTCATATGGATGCGTTCAATCTACTTTAGCTCCCCTCTCCCCACCCCACCCCAAAATAATAAATAAATAAAACTAGAAGAAACCTTCTTATTTGAATTGTTGGAGCATGTCAAAGTCAACAAATACTACTGCATTCCACGTGCTCTCTGCCTTCAATTTGTTGACATGGTTAGGTTTATATACATTTAGAAATGCTTCAACCTTATTCTCTTCCTTTGGCGCCATTTCCAGAGAATGTGGATGGAGGAACAGTGATTCTTTATCTACATGCCAAGATCCATGTGTAGTCTGTTTGGAACAGCAGTGCACAGTGGCTGCGGAAGGTAAATTTCTCTTAAGAGTGCATATTATCACAATTCTCTATCTTTGGTAAGTTTACATGAAAAAAATCACATAATTTGATGTATATACATATGGGGAAAGTTTTTGGATTGTAGAAGTTAATGATTTTTTCTTTTTTTGGGCACCTGCATCTATGCATTTGAATATGTTCTCCGGGAAGAAAGAGATATAACACTGGAGAATGAGTGATATGGAACAAGCATCATTTTCTTAATCCCTCAATGTAGCAAATGCAAATATATCCTTACACTCCAAAAGGCTCCCTGGTGATGGTTCATGTGGGCAAATTAAGTACTGGTGAGAGTGTAGAATTAGAGGTAATGCTATAGCATTGGTTTGGGCTGAAGGAGATAGATAGATGCATCTACTGAATGCTCTGTTCAGTTCTCAGTTCCCATTTTAGGGGTATTGAACATGATAGATGTGTTTACCTAAAGTAAGGATTTTGGTGTCAAACCTTATTATTGTATGTTTCGAGGAAGTATTTTTCCATTGAACTGGAAAATGTTTGTCTAGTTTCAGCGCTTCTCTGTTGTCTCCCTCTTGTTGCTGGACAGCTTCTTTAGGCATGTTCCAGGAATCAATCATCTGATTGTGAATGTATTACAGCAGACTGTTATTACATTTGCTCATGCAGTTATGATGCAGTTGGTCAAGTGTTACTACATTATTTCATTCTTTGTTTAGGCACATTTGTATGTTTTTATGTAATTAGGTTTTCCACATTAACACTTTTTCTGTGGCTTTCTTATCTCCATAAAGAATGGTGAATCAGTACCAAGATGCACCTTGGTAGTGATAATTATTTGTTATATAGGGCTGCATTGGTGAGATGGTGGAACTTGCAATCGTGCCCTGTGCACAAACTAGATTATATTTTCTTATTTAATTACAGTAAGAATCTAAATGAAGTATTATAAATTGGGTACATCAGAACTATACCCCTTAACTGGTAGACTTGTTATAACCGATAGGCTATCCCCATATTTTGAAAATTCTGAGTTAATTGTGCGGTAGTCAACATATTAATAATTTCAGATTGGTTTTTTTTATTTTTATACATTGCTCATTTTGATTGTTTCATCTGTTCTCTGAGTTCTGAAATCCTTTTCTTCCTACTGGCTTTCTGCATGCTTGATGGTACAATCATGCATATTGTTGGTTGCCTAGGACAATAACAAATCTCGTGGTGCAGGTTGTGATCATGAGTTTTGCACAAGATGTGCCTTGTACCTTTGTTCCACAAACTGCACTACAACTGTGTCTCATGGTCCCCCAGGCTCAATTGCATGTCCTCTCTGCCGAAGTGGCATAGTTTCATTTGTGAAGCTTAGAGGAACAAGATCAGTGGTTAAGGAGAATCCAAGAACAAGTTTATCCCTATCGTTGTGCTCATGTTCTGCTGAGGCGCCAGATTCCACCTCAATAACGACCCCGTTGTGCAAGCCTGAGTTCCGTTGCTCTGGTAAATCTCCTCTCGGATCTTTCCGGTCCTTGAGCTGCCAGAAGTTCCCATCATTCAAGATCAACTACAACCTTTGCATGGGAGCTCCAAATATTAATCCTTGTTTGGTTCCAAGCTCCGGTAATAGGAAGTTGCGGAACCATTTGGCTAGGTGCTCTAGATCCGGCTTTAGACGATCAGCATCTCAACCTGAGGGCAGAAGGTCATGGTTTTCTGCACTCAATCAAAATGTAACGACTGGCAGTGGATGCTGAATGGCTTTTAGTCCTTTGATTTTTTGTTGTATTCTGACTACTTTTGGATGTATTTTTTTCCACCTCATTTTTTGTCCATAATGTGCTAAATCATCTTCAATTTGTGATGATTATTGGATGGTGTAACATTGTAAATATAACATTCTTTTTTTCAAAAGAAATGTTCTGATTTACAGACTCTCTCTCTCTCTCTCTCTCTCTCTCTCTCTCTCTCTCTCTCTGTATGCTCATTGTTAGAACATAAATTCTGAACCATGTAACGGTTCGTCATTAAGTTAAATTTATCTATATTTTCTTTCTCCACCTTGTTGCCAAAAATATGGAAATGCAAGGTGAACTTGGGAATCTTACAAATGCTTTGGCTGGACTTGGGATCTTATTATTCTTTTGAAAATAAAATTACTCATTCCAAAAGAGCATATCCACTAGGGTCACTGAACTCAAGTCAGTTGAGCATTTTATTAATTTAATTTCTGACACTGCAGTTTGGACAAAAAGGTCATGAAACACTGCAAATATATTTAGTATGAATTATTCACAGCCATCATGAAACACCCCCATGAAAATTAGGAAAACGCATAATCTGTTAGCTCTTTTTCTCTTTTTTTTTTTCTTTTTTTTTTCCTGGTAATGTTTATTATATCAGAGAACATAAACAAATTTGGTAGGCGACAAAAATGAAGAATAACATAACCTTCTTCAGAAAAATATTATTCAACCAACCCTATAGTACACAGTATATTAGTGGAGATAATACAAATCATATAAAACTAAGAACACGCTGCAAATCCATAATACTTAATCAAGCTCAAGAGGGATAGACAAGGATGGTTAAGATAGGAGGGTTGATAAAGATGAAGGAAAGAACACAAGACAAGAAGTCAATGGAGGGTGGTGATGATGGTTATGCAAAGACATAAAAGTCTTGCAAGGTCAAGAAAGAGAGAAAAGACCGAGAAAGGTAGGATGACAATAGAGAAAGTATGAAAGAGATCAAGTAGATGATGGTGAAGTGAAAAGAAAGAAGAAAAAGAAAATAGATAAGCTCAGTTAGGATAGCACCATGAAAGATCAAACGTCCTCGGCCTCCTTCTCCATTTGTGATGGAAGCCAAAGTGCTGCTGGTACTGGCTCCCAGAAGTTGGCGATGACTTGATGATCAAGTGATAGCAGCAGGTGCTTCTTCTTGAAAAGAAGAGGGCAAAAGCATGTTGAGAAAGAAAAGACAGGCATTGAATTGAAGATTGAATGGTGTTTGTTGTTAAGGTGTGGGCTATGAAGTGATGTAAATGGGAAAGAAGACATGGCAGTTCCTGAAGAGATGGATGGATGGAGGTTATATATATAGAGCGTGTGGAAAGAGAAGGAAATAAATGAGAGAAACAGAAGAGACTGACATTCCAAATTTGTGTTTGGTTTCAGCAAATGGTCAAAAGAGAGCATCAGATTAGGCACTGGTGGACCCAAAAACCATGAAGGATTAGAATCTGCTGTGTGTGTACATGAGAGAGAGAGAGAGAGAGAGAGAGAGAGAGAGGCATGAGATATTGGTGACAGCTTGATTTGAGAGAAGGGAGAGGAGGGAAGTACAGAGAAAAAAACAGAGGAAAAGCAGAGTGAGTGTGACTTACCATCCATGCCTTGTTGCTCTGACTCTCTCTCTCATCTGTCTCACATCTTTTACCCTCTCAGTTACGTAATTCACTCAGAAAGAATAAAAAGGGATTTTGATGACTCGGATTTTCAAGTTTCTGAGAAAGAAAGAGAGAGAGAGAGAGAGCTAGAGAGAGAGAAAAAGAGAAATTAATTAAAAAATATTCAACGGAGAGAAGATCTTCAAAACACGATGTGCATGCAATGCAATGAATACTTTTTTGTACCAAAAAGGCTTGTTTGACTAATAACAAATCCTTACTAATTTGTCTTTTTGATCTCCATCATTCTCTTCTCACTGCTTTCTGATACAGTGATGCCAAATTCCTGCTGGTTTTTCTGAAAATCTTTAAATGCAAAATGACATAATCACTTGTTTGAATTCATTAACGTGCAAAACTTTCATAAAAATGAAAGAGTCAATGGTTATAATAGTAATCATTTAGAAAGCGACTCTAGCTAGCAGCAACAAATCTGACCACCATCGTAATGACATTTCAGCATTCATTGACTTTTAATTAATATTACAGACTTGGTGCACTTATTGAATTAACCATTCTCAGCAAAAAAAAGACATAAAAAACCAAATAAGCTTGAGCTAGAAGCCTAGAACCCTAGAACCCTAGAACCCAATGTTCATATAGCACGAAAATAAAATTATAATGATAATAGGGTATGGTGAGGAAGAGTCATGGGCCTTCCTCTTGTCACTGCCATCTCCCCTAAATATGCAGAGATCATGGCACTTCAATTTTGGGATGAAGTTTGCTCGGGATATTGGCTTTTCTTCTATATTGGTTGAGTATAATTCAGAAGCAATGGTAAATGACTTAAAGAATGGTGACGAGAGTCATGAGCATCTCATTGATGATATTAAGAGGAATCTGCAACAATTTGATGGTGTTACTTTTTCTTTCAGTCCAAGGAGGTGCAATCAAGCAGCTAATCTTCTAGCAAGGCATGCACTTAATTGTAATACTTTTGCAACTTGGATTAAAGAGATTCCCCTCTGGCTAAAGCCAATTGTACAAGATGATACTATTGTATCCTCTTAATTGTTATCAATGTTTTTTTCTTTCGAAAAAGAAAAATGATAATAGGGTATGGGATTTTGGCAACACAAGGTCCAATTAATGTGGAGATATAGAGTCTGCCAAACAAGATCTTTTGATGCTAGGATGGGGGAGGAGGAGGAGTTGAGAAAAAACATAAAACAACTTTGCAAGTAAAGCTGGTCACAAAACCCTGATTGGGGGAGGGATGGGTTTTTCTTTTTTCAATGATCCTCAATCCATCCACTCTCCTTATGTTTTTATTTTTTATTTTTTAAATGTATTGTTTGTAGGATCTTTGGGGCAATAGCTCCTACAGCTAGGGTTGGGTTTAGGGTTAGTTTTTGTGCATGTATGCTCACCCTTCCGTCTTGTTGCTTCACCATCACTAGCGGTGATAGGAGAAAGGAGAGAGGAGATGGGAGATAGGAGAGAGGAGAGGAGAGCAATTATTCCAATCTGACAGACAATACAGGACAAGAGAAACTTTTATTTTAAACTAAATTTTTAAACCCCATGAAAAATTTAAAAAAACAAAGAGAAGAGAAAAGGCAAATCATCATGACCTTTGTGATGGGACAATACATGGTCAATCAATCAGTCTCTTTTACTGTCTGAACAAGAGAGAGAGAGAGATTTTTTTTATTATTATTATTTTTTTTTCTCATGGGTTGCAGCCGCCTACGTAAGGCAAGAGAAGACCAAGATAATAACATGCTACAATTCATCCAACCATAATATTCAATATGTGCACTCTGCTATGCTCTATGCTACGGTCAGCTTCTGATGCACACTGCAGGCATGGCATGTGTGTGCCTTAGGCTTAGCTAATAGCTAATTCCTGGGATGAAGTTTGCTCGGGATATTGGCTTTTCTTCTATATTGGTTGAGTATAATTCAGAAGCAATGGTAAATGACTTAAAGAATGGTGACGAGAGTCATGAGCATCTCATTGATGATATTAAGAGGAATCTGCAACAATTTGATGGTGTTACTTTTTCTTTCAGTCCAAGGAGGTGCAATCAAGCAGCTAATCTTCTAGCAAGGCATGCACTTAATTGTAATACTTTTGCAACTTGGATTAAAGAGATTCCCCTCTGGCTAAAGCCAATTGTACAAGATGATACTATTGTATCCTCTTAATTGTTATCAATGTTTTTTTCTTTCGAAAAAGAAAAATGATAATAGGGTATGGGATTTTGGCAACACAAGGTCCAATTAATGTGGAGATATAGAGTCTGCCAAACAAGATCTTTTGATGCTAGGATGGGGGAGTAGGAGGAGTTGAGAAAAAACATAAAACAGCTTTGCAAGTAAAGCTGGTCACAAAACCCTGATTGGGGGAGGGATGGGTTTTTCTTTTTTCAATGATCCTCAATCCATCCACTCTCCTTATGTTTTTATTTTTTATTTTTTAAATGTATTGTTTGTAGGATCTTTGGGGCAATAGCTCCTACAGCTAGGGTTGGGTTTAGGGTTAGTTTTTGTGCATGTATGCTCACCCTTCCGTCTTGTTGCTTCACCATCACTAGCGGTGATAGGAGAAAGGAGAGAGGAGATGGGAGATAGGAGAGAGGAGAGGAGAGCAATTATTCCAATCTGACAGACAATACAGGACAAGAGAAACTTTTATTTTAAACTAAATTTTTAAACCCCATGAAAAATTTAAAAAAACAAAGAGAAGAGAAAAGGCAAATCATCATGACCTTTGTGATGGGACAATACATGGTCAATCAATCAGTCTCTTTTACTGTCTGAACAAGAGAGAGAGAGAGATTTATTTTTTATTTTTTATTTCTTTTCTCATGGGTTGCAGCCGCCTACGTAAGGCACGAGAAGACCAAGATAATAACGTGCTACAATTCATCCAACCATAATATTCAATATGTGCACTCTGCCATGCTCTATGCTACGGTCAGCTTCTGATGCACACTGCAGGCATGGCATGTGTGTGCCTTAGGCTTAGCTAATAGCTAATTCCATACCATTAATGCCTCTCTCTCTCTCTCTCTCTCTCTCTCTCTCATATTGTTGAGCTTGAGGCTTTGCACTGTTGAGGGTGAAGGGGTAATTTAGGAGAGGCACTCAACAATCTGTTTTCGTGTTTGTGTTTGTGCCTTGCAGTTCCAACTTAACCAATAACCTAAATCCATCAGAAGATTGGTTGAGTTGGGCACCTTCTACGGTGCACCAGGTGCACCCATGCACCATTTGTTGTTTATGAAGCATGTGCAGTGCACATGCCAATTAATTTGTAAAAAAATAAAAAGAAAACCTGCTATAACAGGTGGAGGTAATAGGTTTCTTCTGTGATATTTTAGCGCGCTTTTCCTCAAACTGGTTCAGAACTTCAAAACCCAAAAACCTCTCCTACATATGGCGATCTCCTCCATGTATCTCCTCCAGTGATCAGTTGATTCCTAAGGTTGAAAACATTGGGTAGCAGTTGATTTGAAGCGTTTTAAGGTTAGT